TATAAAAAGCAAATTACACTTTTTTTTCTAAAAATTTTAAAAATAATTTGTAAACACTTGAATATATATACCCAAAGAGATAAAAGGAGAAGTGATAAATTTGATATGTGATGTAATACGAAAAAAAGAAGAAGTGGTGAGATATATTAAATAGGCGTTGAGAACGAATGATACTGTTTAGATGCGATCCTTGGTTCTATTTTAATGTGAATATTTTTTTGTTTGTTTTTTTTACTATGATTCTCCTCATTATTTACAATTATTTTTTTCAGAATCTGTGTGTGTTTTTTAAATTTTTATTTCTTAAATTCATAAAGTTAATTATATAGAGTTTAAATTTAATTATTGATAATATTGAACATTATAGGAAAACATAAAATCTCGTTAGAAAGTCGATTCTTCGATGTGCTCGGGCCAATTTGCATTTAGACTAAAGTGTAATTCACGTTTAATGGAATAGAGTGTAATTTATAATGGTAAATGCGAGCATAAAGTAATCTAAATATTTATTTTAAGGAAGAAAACCAAATTCATCCAAATAATATATACAGAAATTTATAATAAATTTTAAAGCACACAATATTATAATATTTAAAACTAATATTAAAAATATTTACAAACAATATCGCATTTTCATGTATTGCATGAGTATCTGTGTGTGATAGGATTAAGGGATATCAACAACGTTAAATAATTTTTTTTTATCAGAAGTTAATTTTGTTGGTGTAGTTATTGAATTTAAATCTTCATAAAGTAAATCAAATCAAGTTAATTCTTAAAATTATTTTATTTTCTAGATGATTCTTCAAATATAAGTTTTAAATTTTTTTCTAAATGTAGTTTATTTCTCTATTTTTTCCTTTTTTAAAAAATTATTAAAATGTACACGATTCAAAAATTAATTGATACTTCATAATTTTAGTTTATTTTAAATGCGAAACAACTTTTAATAAATAAATATTATTACTTTACATATTTATAAATATTTAAACTATGCAAAAGTTTATATACTTAATTATTTTGATAATATATTATAAATTAATGGTTAAATTGATAAAAAAAAGAAGAATATCATTTCACTGCAATAAAATTTTTTTAGAAAACTTAAAATAATATTTCTAAAAATGAAAGTTTAAATTTAAAAAATTGAAATATTTATATTAAACAAAAAATTTTAATAGTTCTAAAAAATTCCTAAAAAAACTTAAAAACAAATCTCAATGTTCCACTAATTCTTGGAGCCTAGCCTCACATATTATCTCATAGGATAGGCAATATTTTTAGGCATTAACAATAAATTTTGTTCTTGACTTATCTCTCTTCCCTTTTGCCAAGGGTGTGTGTGTTGTTTTAATATTTAGATCTCCAACACATCATCTTTTGATATCACATTGTTAAAGAAAGTCTTTGGTTGCGTTGGATTAGTGTGCTCTTTTATTGTCCTTGCATTCTTATTTGGCCATTAGTTAATTGTATATGCTGATATTTTTGTAAACGTAGACACCTTTGACTGAAGAAGGCTTTAAGTGTAGTTTGTATCGTTTTGGTTGATGACAATATTAGAGCCCATGACTATCTTTTGAAAATGAAGAATGGTTTTCCTTTTTTCCCCCCTTTACCTTCTATCTTCTTTTCATCTTCCTTGTCACCATGTTTTATAGAAAGCTACTTATGCTGATGCACATCGCCTTTCCATAGTGTATCTCTCAATTCATAACCTTACCTTTTTCTATGATGCCTATGCCTTTTTTTGTTGTTGCATTGATGTGAATTTTGATGAACAACTAGAAGTCCGCATCGATTAAATCATCTTCCTTCAACTTTACAGAACATGCATCTCAACCCCAAGTTATTGACATTAAATGCTTAGGAAATATCTCGAGTTTGATTACACTCTTAGTTTTGATACATATTTTTTTAATTTCAAACTTTATAGTTGAGTTTAAATACTCAAAAATAATAACTTTTTATCAAAAAATAACACATTTTTCATAAATATTTTTTTAACAAAATATTACTATTATTAATTGTTTGAAATCATCTCTAAGAATCGAGGTAGACATTTTTTACTTTCAGTTTACGTGCGATTCAAATTTTTCTAATTTTAATTGCTTGTATTTATTTATTTTTCCTTTTTAATTATTTAAATTAAGTCTCTCATTTAAAATTTTATTTAATAGTTAATAAAAATATAATTATTAATTAACCCAAATTAATATATATATATATACTTTTTAATTTTTTTAATTATTTAAATTAAGTCTTTACCTAATTTTTATTATATTTTATTCATTGTATTTACTATTTTATTTAAATATTTTGATTTTTTTACTAATTTATATAAATCAATAATATGTCACATTTTAATTATATTTTTAATTAATTATTATATAAAATTTCAGAGTGAAAATTTTAATTTAAACAATTAAGAAATTAAAGAAACCAATTATAAGTAAGGAAAACTAGATAATCTAAAATTATGTATAACTTAAATATCAGAGCAAAAAATATAGTTAAGTCTTACTTTTTATTTTCTGGTAGTTGTAGCCTCTGGTGATCCGATCACTGCATATAATATGATGATTTAATGTTTTAAGGTTCATTTTGTAGAAGTGTTTAGTAAAAAATTATTTTAAGTATTTTAGAAAATTTAAGTTGGAAATGTTAAATTTTCATGTTTGTTATAGATACTTGAAAAAAGATTTTCAATTAACTTGACATTCTCATAAATTGTACTTTAATTAAGTTTTTTAAGAAAACATTTTCACGAGAGGATGAAAATTTAACATTTTTAAAACAATTTTTATGATACAAATATACAATTATACTCTTCAATGATCTAAAATTTAAATATAGTTTTTTTTTATCTCTATTTTATAATCACATATTCAAAATTTTTATTGTTAAACTGTTATTATAATTAAATATTATTTAACATTATTGTGATAGAAATTTTGCAACTCTCACCGTGATGTCATCTAATACTATTATTATATATAATTTTTGAAATAATCCATAGACATAAGTAGTTTCAGAATAATTTATACTATGCCTCTCAACATTTATTTTAATTTAACCTTTATTACTAATTATTTCATTTATTGATTGTTTTCTCACTTAATCTAAATCACATATATTTTTCATAGAAAGCAATTTTAAAATTTTATTTTTAAAAACATTAAGCATGTACCATCTCCGTTTATTAAGGCGAACAAAGAGTTTATTTATGTATTAATTAGTAACTTCGGTATTGACAATTATATGAACTTTTTGGTTTTTATATTTTTATATTTAGTCATTTTGTTCTCTTTATTATCAGCAAAAAATAAACAAGGAAAATTCTTCATGTTTTTTAAACATGGTCATTAAAAATATATATATATTCATTCATTCCCATTTTTAGTTATTCACCATCTTGGGCACATTTGATTGGGAATTTTTTCTGTCCTCTCTTAATAAATATTTTTTTTTATTTTTATTACAATACACAACTTTATATAACTAATTAACTATTTTTTCAAATTAAAATTAAGAAAAAGTTGCAAGCAAGTAGATACTACAAAATTATATAATTTTTTAATTAACTAATATTTTCGATTTTTTTATTTAGTGAAATTAGCTTTGTTTTCTCTTACAAAAAACTTATATTTTAATAAGATATTTTTATTAATTAGTCAAATATATTATAAATAAACTAAAATGTGTTGACAAAAGGATATAAAATCTTTTTAAATTTGGGTGTGGCGTGTGGTCAATAAAATTAGTTAATAAATTAACTCGAATTTAAAAAATCAGCATAGAAATAACATAAAAGATAGACTCATAATAAAATAATGAGGATAAGAATAAGAAAAAGTTAAGAATTTATAAACTGAGACACTACGTAAAATAATATTTTTAAAAATGTTAACAAAATATGACAAGTTACTAAAAATAAAAATTTTGTTAAATAAAATGTTTTTCTCTTTTTTTGTTTAGAAATAAATTAAATTAAATTTAATTAAAAGTTTATTTTTCATTAACTAGATATTAGTAAAATTGATGTATTTATTATTTAACTTTGGACATGAATATGCTTCTGATTTTCTAGTAACGTGGCACTCATTTATTGACTGTTGATTTATTACCCATAATAAATCAATCTCTTTAATTAAATATAATTTTGAATTGGTCAAATAAATTGAGAATCACCTTAAAAATCTTCACAAACACATTCGTTATCTCATTTCCTTAGAAAATCCACCTATATGGGATGCATAAGAACGGAATATCCAATAAAGTGGCATAATTTCCAGTGCTATAAACCATTTGAATATGGGAACTTTTTGTGTCTAATTTTTACAGGGGGCTTTTTGAATCATTTATTCCACGCCATTTGACTGATGACACATCTCATGTGATTCAGGAAACACCTTACCTTTACTTTTTGCCTTCATTAGAAAAACTTGAATCAAAATATCCAATATAGTGTAACTGAAAACAAAAACTTATCCACAATAGGATTTATATGATACGGTGACATTAATTTTGTTGATAGAATGCAGAACCGAAATCATGTATATTGGTCATACAAGTCGATTTCCCTCTCAAATTTTCCCATTAAATTACATTAATGATAATAATTAACAAAAGTAAAAGCAGATGCCATTTCAAATTTTCTACACACCTACTACATTTGATGCCATTCCCCACACCAATATCACACCTTCTAAACAACAAACCTCAATTTAAAAGAAGAAAGCTACCCATCATCCCTTCCTAACCTACATAAACAAAAAAAATCCAATATACAGAAGTGAATACTGAATCTCATATCTGAATTGAGAAAAACACACACAAATTATAAAATAACGCTAGAAGGAGGGCTTGAACCTCCGACCTTGTGGTTAACAGCCACACGCTCTAACCAACTGAGCTATTCCAGCTTTGCTGCAAACTAGAGCCAAAAATAGTAAATCAATTATTTATATAAAGTTAAAATATGCATATATTAAGAACTGAAATGGCAACGACAAAACGGCTTCTTAGAGAGAGGTTATATTCTTAACGTGTATTTCAGTTTGGTTGGAGTAAGTCGTCTCTTCTCATTCCCTTCTCTTCTCTGCTGAGAAAGACCCACAACACCAAACCAATATATATATACAAACCAACATTCTCATTCTCATTCATAGTTTCATTTGATGCACCCACTTTCACTCACCTTCCTCTCATGGCGGGTGCACACTCCCTCAGACAACACCAAACTTCTTCTTCAAGGCTTCTCCTTCTCCTAACCGTTCTCCCTCTCACCTTAGCCTTATTTGCTTTCATCCTCCAATGGCGTGGTGGTGTCACCGACCCTGTCACCCGCTGGTCACCCGATCAAAACCAGTTTCCCGGCATGATCGGTTCCCCTCCCTCACACCACCATTCTCACTCCGATTGCTCCAATCTTCTCTCTCGGTCACACTCTCCTTCCTTCCCTTACTTCCGCGATTGGTCCTTCGATTTCACATCACATCTCACTCCCAAGGTTTTTAATCTTAAACCCTACGAATTTTTTGTTTTTGTTTGAAATTAGTGAATCGTGGATTGTGATTTTTTTATTCTCTGATCTTATTGTCGATTTGGTTTTTTCGGGGTGGAATTTCAGATATGTATTACGACCAGTACTTCCGCTGGTTTGGAACAGACTCTGCCGTGGATCTTCTATCATAAGGTTATGGGAGTCTCAAGTTTTCTCCTTTTTGTAGAAGGGAAGGCTGCGTCCCCTAATGTCTCTGCAGTTCTACAAAGCATTCCTGTTAGTGCATTCAATTCGTTGCTTTTTTGTGTTCCGAGAATTTGCCAATTTTTGTTTTTAAATCTGAGGTTTGATCTTTGATTAAAACGTGTTTTTGAATCAGGGGGTAAAGGTCATATATAGAACAAGAGAGTTAGAGGAACAGCAAGCTAAAAGGTATGTGTGTATGTGCTTTTTCTTTTTCGCACCTCTGTTTTGAATAAAATGGGCCTTTTGACTTTATTGAGCATATGGGTTGGTCACTGTTTATTTCAAACAAGGTTGTAGAACGTGGGTTTTGAAATCTTTATGTAATTTGAATGAATTCTTTTGGTTCTATAGTGTTGACTATTTTATTACTCATACTTCAATGGTAGCATGTTTTCCTGTGTTAAAGTTTGATGCGCATTCTGGATCTACCTTGGTTTCTGTCTGGTTTGTTAATACAGATCTTTGGAAGAGGTTTGAGATTGAATTATCCAATAAATAACTGTTTAGGATACAGATTCCAATAGTTCTTACATAATTTAAGTGAAACAGTTCTTAGCATGTTTGACCTAAATCTCAATGTAATCATAACCAAGTATAAATTTGGATATGATGACATCATATCCAGATATGTATGTCATTATATGCTTATCTTATAAGTTCTTACTGTTTGATGAAGAAATTGATGTGAATTTTGATCCACATAAAAGTTCCATTTGATATTATTTTTTGTATTGAAAACCAAATTTGAACAGTTGAATCTTTGCTTAATAGCCTAAACTTTGTCGGTCAAATTGTTCTTTGACATTATATCAAAGCTTGGTTGATCAAGTGCTCTGTTGCTTTATTCTTGTTAGTCATCAAATCAAAACCCATTCTTGTTATCTAGTATTGCTCAGACGCAAAACCTTTTCATGAATTACCAACTTTACCCTTTATTAATATTATTTTCGTTTCATCAATACCCATTCATCTTTGCTCTTTCAACCTTGTCAGTAATTTACATCTTAATGAAAATAGTAGTATGGAAGAGAGCGTTTAGCTCATGGCACAGTGGTCCTGGTAACATTGCTGTTTTGTGACCTAGTGATCATGGGTTCTTGTTGCATGATTTCCATAGCAATGGTGGTAACCTAGTATTTTGAACCGTGCTCTCTTTTATATAGAATAATGGTTTGTGATATAACTTCTGCACATAAGAACAGAACCAAACACCTCAAAGAAGGGTTGGTTTTGAGTATAAGTTCCATTCTTGGGCTCTTGTTTTGCTGCTTTAGATGTCGGGATCAGTAGTTTCTACTAATATTTGTAAATATTTTATTCGTATGTAGTTTCTGAATTTTAAAAGTATGTTCTAAATTTTGGAACCTCTTCATAATGTTTGTTAAGTATTTTGATAGGATGATTCATTCCTTATTCGCCTTTTTCTACTTTCTTATATGTTTCAGCCGAATATGGAATGAGACTTGGTTAGCGAGCTTCTTCTACAAACCGTGTAACTACGAATTGTTTGTGAAGCAATCTTTAAACATGGAAATGGCTATTGTCATGGCAAGGGTATGGATTATGATTTCTTTTATTGGATTACTTAATTAGTGTACCCCCACTAATGTAGTTTATCTATTTATGATCTTAATTTTTTTTTTTTACAATATTTTTTGTCTCAGGATTTAAGAATGGATTGGATCATTCATCTAGACACTGATGAACTGATGCATCCAGCCGGAACTCAAGAGTACTCTTTAAGACAGTTGTTAGCTGATGTGCCTGGAAATGTTGATATGGTTATTTTTCCAAATTATGTGAGTGCAAGAGTTTTATTTAGATCCTGAAGTTAACTATCATTTGCTATAGTTGATCAAACTGTAATCTTTTTGGCCAATTGATATTCATTGATATTTTTAACTTAATTATGGAATGCCATTTATTTCAGGAAAGCAGTGTAGAGAGGGACGATATCAAGGAGCCTTTCAGTGAGGTAATTTGCTTATAGCTTCTTTAAATTTTCCAACTGTTAATTCCATGTTGTTCGTAAATAATTGCAAATTTTGTTCATTGTGATCATTGTGTCATATTATTGTGCGTGGAAAATAAAATCTTTTCTGAACACAAATTACAAACGTTTGTTTAAAACTTATCTCTTGAAAAAACGAACCAATCTAAACTTGTGTACATTTAACGTAGGCATATGAAAGAAGACATGCACAGGCATTCATACTCAAAAAGGGTTTTGTATATTTTTATAGTGAACCTTTTAAGTAATGTATACAGTGAAGAAATGACATATTTTTAGTGAATTAAGATGCAATTTTCAGTAGTTATGCTTAATTGAGTCTTTTAATGGTTTCTATTGAAGAGATATTAGTCAGAAGGTAACTTGGTAAAACTATCTGACTCAGAAACAAACAACTCATTAGAGTTTAATTGATTAAGCACTATCTACATTATACCAATGCAAAGTATATAAACATAATCTCAATCCACTTTGCTTGCACTTTCATGTGAGTTGATGGTATTTGTTTGGTTAAAGCTATTCTGTTGCAACTATTAATATAGCTTTTGAAGTTTCTTGGTGTTTCTTTTTAATTATTTTAAATTAAATCAAAAGAGAAAAGTGTCATTTGGGGTGAAAGCCCCTTGTTTCCGATCCAGATTTTTACTATGTCTTGTAGCCTTTTTATTGATGATGTTCATTGTTTTTCCAATATTTATTGACAGAAATAATTTAAAATGTTATCATAGGTTTCAATGTTCAAGAAGAACTATGACCACCTTCCAAAGGATATATATTTTGGAAATTACAAAGAAGCAACCCGCGGCAATCCAAACTATTTTCTTACTTATGGGAATGGGAAATCAGCTGCCAGGGTTCAAGATCATCTCCGTCCTAATGGTGCACACAGATGGCACAACTATATGAAGACACCTAAGTATGTTGATTCTGCCTGTCATTAATTCATAAACGTGCATCACATATAATACATATGCATATGTATGTATTTTTTCCGCCAACATTAGTTTATGGTTAAGGTGAGATTTTACTGAATTGATATGTATTAATAGTAGGGTTCCAGTTGACATGCTGAAAAGCATCATCAGGAATTTATTTTTATGCTAGTTTCATATCTTATATTGTTTAGCTGATGCTTATGTTAAGCCTACATGAACTGTTGATCTCATTTTGACTTATCTGCCTGCCTGCAATTTATGCTACCCTGAGCAGGCCTTCATTAGTTTGAAGATCAGACATGAATATCATCCTATGATAAAAAGTCTGTTAGATAGTGTCACTAGCATTACTCTCTCTCTTTTGGTTGTTTCCTGACATCCTTGGCTTACTACATTTGATTTATTTATGAATCATTTGTCTATAAAATGTTTACAACCATAATGTTAACACTTAATAGTGAAGAATGAACTGTTTCTGTCTATATTTCACTCCTTATTTGTATGCCAAATCTTGCAATAGTGAGATAAAACTGGAAGAAGCTGCTGTTCTGCATTACACCTACACCAAATTTTCTGATTTGACTTCGAGACGTGATCGGTGTGGCTGCAAGCCTACAAAAGAAGATGTTAAAAGATGCTTCATGTTGGATTTTGACAGATCTGTAAGTTACATTTACATCTCATTGCTTGTTATAATTATTAATTTATTATTAGTTTCTTCTAGACTATTGAGTAGATTATTATCTGTGATTACATTCTTATAATCCAAAGATTTTGTAGATCTATTGGGTTTGATGCTCTGATGTTTGTTTTGGGCCTTGCACTCATTTCCTGGTTGAATCAGAAGAGCAGAACTCCTGTTTTGTTTAATTATTTCTGTGCATGGTTTTTTGGCAATTTAAAACTGCATTTGTTGTATTTTTAATCTGACCCAACTCTTGTATGTTTGATGTAGGCGTTCATAATTGCTTCAACTGCAACTGAGGAGGAAATGCTTCAATGGTGAGTTCAGGAATATAGAATCAATTGCCTAAGTCATTTTATGTATTGATATTATTATTATTTTTATTATTATTATTCAGGGGTAGGGGGAATAAGCATTTGAACTTTTTGATGAATGTCATTGATGGACAGTGTAGTTGGCTGGTACAATGCAGGAACAAGGCCACAAAATAATTTGGTTTATAAAACCATGATTGGATGATATGTCCATGTAATGTGATATTTACAAAATGCTAAGCATGATATCTTCTGTATGCTTTATCATATATGAATTATGTGGCTCTTAATCTTAGCATCCTGACATAAATTAGCTCTTCTTTTTTCTTAGTTTACAGAACAGCAAACTTGCTTATTCAATAAGAGGCTTCTAATCCCCATTTATTGCGCCTCTTAAATGAGCTTCTTTCTTAATTTAGGTATCGCGAACGCATTGTGTGGACTGACAAAGCACTAAACATGAAACTTATGAGGAAAGGCATCTTGACTCGCATTTATGCTCCCATGGTAAGTTCACTTGCATGAAATTCGTTCTGGTTTCTCTCCAAGCATTTGTATTGTTATCATCTGCATGGTCATGAGAAAACAGCCTAAACTTTCCTGCCAAACTTTTATCTATGTAGGTTATTATTCAAAGTTTGAGGGAAACTGGTGTGTTTAATTCTGTGATTGCGAAAGCTGCTCAAACAGCGTTATCAAAAGACAACTTTTTAAAAACTGTTGACAGTAGCAATTCAACTAGGAATGGCAGATCAGAAATGATATCCTCTAGAAAAATTGATGCTGGTGGATTATCCCAAGCAACTGCAAGAAGAATCTTGGAAGTTGTAAATGACTCATTCCCATCTGCAGTCCCACCATTATCTCCACCCAGCCATGATCATGCTGACCTGATTACATTTTAGTTTTTTACTAACTCCTTGCCATCATCAGAATTGATTTTGAAGATAGGTCTGATACTTGAATTGTGGGGAAAATTTAAACAAGACAATGATAGAAACTCTTCTGGCTGTCATGATGGGCATTCCAGTTTTTGGATTCATGGGGTTTTTCCCGATCATTACCCAAGCGCTTATGTAAATTTCAGGTATAGATTATAGGCTTAGTGTAGAAATCATACAGAGCACAGTTTGCTAGCATTTTCATGATTCTTTGTTTACCTCTAATCTGTTTTTATTCCCTTCTTTCCCTCCTATTTTTAGCTACATTTGGGCTCATTCGCTGCCATTGTAATGGAAAATAGTGGCCTACTGTATTTTTTATACACATTGAGAGACAGTTATACAGGTTAAGATTTTCTCCCCCGGTTGAAAGTAGAAGTGATTCATTGAATGAAAATTGTGTTTTGCCAAATTTTGCTAGAATTATAAATGACTTCATTGGTGCTGTTCATCCGAAGGGAAGTGAAAGAGTTTGTGTACTTTTATAATTTGCAGAATCAATCGTAAATGAAAAAGATGGTCAGAGGGCTAAATTTTAGCGTACTAAAATGTCTGTTCGGTAGCATTTGGTTAGGATGAGACAAAATATATGGGTTTTGTTCTGGGCGAGGTACAACAAAATATCGAACACAGCATGACATAACGTTGAAAAAATGACATATTTTGCTTTCATTAAAAGCATTAAGCCAAAATAAACAAAAAGGCTGTTTTTCATTCTGTCAGTGTACTAATATAATTTAACGGAAAAAAAGGAAGGCCCTTTTGGGTGTATTAATGTGTTTGGGAGAAGTGTTTTAAAGGGTAAAAAGGGATGATATTTTTTATGTTTTTAAATTAAGAATAATATAATATCGATAAAAATTTAAAACATAACATTTATTATTTTATTTTTAAAAATTTTCAAATAACATTTATTCGAATTAATTTTTTTTTAAACTTTACTCCCAAACATGATATACACGGAGCAAGGAAGGTATCAGATGTCTCGCCCCACTCATTTATCACAATTCATTCAAATCTAATAACCTTTTCAACTAAAATTTCTCTTTGTAGACCAAAAAAGGGAAAAAAAATTCAAAAGTTTTCATTAATTTTAGGAAAAACTATTTTGAACAGAGCAATATGAAACATGAAAATTTTAACAAAAAAAACAAGTATTTCATGTCATAAAAAAAGATTCCTATTTTTCTCCATTCAATATTTTTAACATTCAAATGTTCAGCTTGTGCTTTGTGAGTTGATGGTACGAGCCTAGGAGGCCCACAGAGAGACATAGCGGGTGCTACTTGGAATAATGCGTATTGGCGTGAGTTGTTTCGGTTCATAGTGTAAAGCTATGTCTACAAATTTTCTTGTCTTGTTAAAGCTAGCAGTGCCCAGTACTTCTTATACGAAAGGAAGCTAATGCGTGCAAGTCAATAAAGATAATTTCTTTAAGGTCTTATTTGAGCGTTTGAAAGAAGAGGAAATGAAAGAGCTTGAAGGATAATGAAGAAAACTAAGGAGAAAGAAGGGTTAATACAAAATTTCTCAATTTAGAAGAACTTAATATAAGATTGGGAGAGTGTTAAAGGAATTAAAAATATTTTACTAAATTTAAAGTCTTTTTAACTGTTTGATTACCTTAGATGTCAAGTTCTTAAAGTTGTGGTTCCATGATCAACAACAATTTAGTATGTTTTCTTGATTCTAAGCCTACCATATTCTTTTTTGCAAAATATGAAACTTTTCCTTCTTGCTACTCTAATACAATAGGCTAGGAGTAATACTCAAGTCATTAATGCAAGGTATCGGGCAATTATGCAAGAACGTTGAATGGATATCAGGTAATTTATGCAAGGTAGTTTGCATGTGGTAGATAATTATGGAAGCCATAGGGTGGAATTGCTCACGTGCTTGCTCATAAGCTAGCTACTCATATCAAAGTACTATCATTATATAAGCTAATTGCTACAACTCTAAAATCAATGTTGTTGAAAAGTTAAATTGAAGGGGGAGTCACCTGTAAGAACATGTGGCTTGCATTTCAACATAAGAGGGAAGACTTTTTCTTCTCTCATACAATTGTTAACAGAGGCAAGTAATTTTCGGTGCATAGATGGAGGCTACAAACTAGCTATGGTGAAAATGGGTGGTAAGAACATGTGCATTGAAAGCATTGAGTTGCCTATAAATAGGCTTCATTACATTGGCTGAACATATAACAAGCATCCCAAGCAATCAACAAGATAGTAGTCAGTAAGAAGCAGAAAAACAGAAATTAGTTTAGCTTCTGGGTGTATTTGGGTTGTGGGCTGTGAGTGAGTTTGAGAGTGTTTTGTAAACACTAGTGTATTTCTTTTCTCCTAATAAAATATCTGCAGTAGTTCGGAGACGTAGGCATTATTGGCCGAACTCCGTTATCAATTTGGTGTGTCCAATTATTCCGCTTTTATTTTACTTTCACAGATCTGACTTCATGAAAAATTCAGCGTATTTTTCCCAATAACTGGTATCAGAGCAGGTTGTTAATTCTGCAATTTTTGTGGTGTTACTATTCATATGAATAGTAAAATACTATTCTGTGAATAGTGAAAAACGTGAATAGTGCAAATTTTGTCGGCGCTACAAATTTGTCTACAGACGTGTTCTGAAATACGGTAGTTCACAGAAATTGTCAGAAACGATCCAGTGGAGAAGTCAGATCAGAGTTGAAGTGATGGCTGCAGATGAAGGAAAGGTGAAAATCGAGAAGTTTGATGGTGTAGACTTCGACTTTTGGAAGATGCAAATAGAGGACTATTTGTATAAGAAAGGCATGCATGAATCTCTTACAGGCAAGAAACCAGAGTCTATGAAGGAAGAAGACTGGAAACTTCTGGACAGTAAAGCTCTTGGAGTCATTCGATTAACATTATCCCGTAATATTGCTTTCAATATAGCAAAAGAAAAGACTACGGCGGATCTTATGAAGACTCTTGAAAGCATGTACGAAAAGCCGTCAGCCTCAAACAAAGTTCATTTGATGAGGCGGTTGTTCAACTTACGGATGGCAGAAGGCGCCTCAACGGCGCAACATCTAAACGAACTCAACACTGTCACAACCCAATTGAGTTCAGTTGGAATCGATTTCGATGATGAAGTACGGGCTTTAATTCTCTTATCTTCCTTGCCTGAGAGTTGGAATGCTACTGTCACAGCTGTGAGTAGCTCATCGGGAAGCAATAAGTTGAAATTTGATGATGTTCGTGATTTGGTTCTCAGTGAAGAGATCCGGCATAGAAAGTCGGGTGAATCATCAACCTCTTCAGTATTGCATACAGAGTCAAGAGGCAGAAGTTTAACCAGAGGAAGAGAACGCAGCAAATGAAAGAGCAGACGATCCAAGTCCAGAAATCATCATGGTTCCCAAAACTCGAAGTCGATCGAGTGTTGGAATTGTGGGAAGACCGGGCACTACAAAAACCAGTGCAAGAGTGCACGGAAGAATCAAGAAGCAAAGGACGAAGCAAACGTAGCCTCCACCTCAGGAAAAGACGAGGTGTTGATATGCTCTCTTGAAGGAAAATAGGAGTCTTGGGTGTTAGACTCTGGAGCATCTTTTCATGCTACCTCACAGAAGGAACTATTCGACAATTATGTTCCCAGAAAACTTGGTAAGGTTTACCTTGGTAATGAGCAATCATGTGAGATTGTAGGTAAAAGTGCAGTAAAGATTAAGTTGAATGGGTCTGTATGGAAATTGAAAAATGTCAGACATATTCCTGACCTGACAAAGAATTTAATCTCAGTGGGCCAGCTAGCTAGTGAAGGCTACACAACAATCTTCTACGGTGATGATTGGAAGATTTCAAAGGGTGCGATGACAATTGCTCGAGGCAAAAAGAGTGGTACTCTTTACAAGACAGCAGGAGCATGTCATTTGATTGCAGTTGCAGCAAATGAAAATTCCAATCTATGGCACCAAAAACTTGGGCATATGAGTGAGAAAGGGATGAAGATCATGCACTCAAAAGGAAAATTACCAGGTCTTCAGTCAGTAGAAATTGACATGTGTGAGGACTGCATACTTGGAAAGCAGAAAAGAGTCAGCTTTCTGACAAGTAGAAGAACTCCAAAGAAAGAGAAGCTTGAGCTCATCCACTCTGATGTTTGGGGTCCAACGACCGTCTCATCCATTGGTAGAAAGCAATACTTCGTGACTTTTATCGATGATCACTCCAGAAAGGTATGGGTTTACTTTCTGAAACACAAGTCAGAAGTATTTGAGGCTTTCAAGATTTGGAAAGCTATGGTAGAAAATGAAACAGGATTGAAGATTAAGAAGCTCAGATCCGACAATGGTGGTGAATATGTAGACACCAGATTCAAGAAGTTTTTCTATGAGCACGGGATCAGAATGGAGAGAACCGTGCCTGGTACGCCTCAACACAATGGTGTAGCTGAGCGTATGAATCGAACGTTGACTGAAAGAGCCAGAAGCTTGTGTGTGCAGTCAGGCTTACCAAAGCAGTTTTGGGCAGAAGCAGTCAATACAACAGCTTACTTGATAAACCGAAGTCCATCGGTACCATTGGAGCACAAGATACCAAAAGAGGTATGGAGCGGAAAAGAAGTAAAACTCTCACATCTTAGAGTTTTCGGCTGTGTAGCATATGTGCACATCAGTGATCAAAGCAGAAACAAACTTGACCCAAAATCAAAGAAGTGTACTTTCCTTGGTTATGGTGAATATGAGTTTGGCTACCGCATATGGGATGATGAAAACAAAAAGATGATCCGCAGCAGAGATGTAATCTTCAATGAAAGAATGATGTACAAGGACAGATATAATATAGGTGCCAACAACTCAGAAACGAGTGGGCCAGTTTATGCAGAGGTGGAAGATATCTCAGAAAGTCCTATGATAAGGAGTCCTCAGTCAGAGGAATCAAATGAAGAAAGCGATGTGCAATCAGAACCTCCTACTCCAACTCCTGTATTGAGAAGGTCCTCTCGGCCCCATGTGCCTAACAGGAGATACATGAACTACATGTTATTGACTGATGGAGGAGAGCCTGAAGATTATATGGAAGCTTGTCAGACCACAGATGCTAGCAAGTGGGAGCTTGCCATGAAAGATGAGATGAAGTCTTTAATCTCTAATCAGACATGGGAACTAGTCAAGTTACCTATGGAAAAGAAAGCACTTCACAACAAATGGGTGTATCGAGTGAAGGAAGACCATGATGGTTCCAGGAGATACAAAGCCAGACTGGTTGTCAAAGGATTTCAGCAGAAAGAAGGAGTTGACTACACTGAGATCTTTGCTCCAGTTGTAAAGCTCAATACTATCAGGACTGTGTTAAGTATTGTGGCTAATGAAGAGCTCTAACTAGAGCAATTAGACGTGAAGACTGCATTTCTTCACGGAGACCTAGATGAGGAGATCTACATGCACCAACCTGAAGGTTTTTCAGAAGAAAAGAA